AGGAACATCAAACCTTGAAGGAACATCAAACCTTGAAGGAACATCAAACCTTGAAGGAACATCAAACCTTGAAGGAATATAAGTATAAAATAATGTTTAGGGATATGATTTTGAATTTACATCTATAAGATGATTGTAGTTTTTAGATTTTTGTGCCATATGTATGATACAGTTAGTCTAAATTTGTAATATATTAAATTTTAATTTAGAGTCAAGCATCAAAAAGTCTGGAACCTGCTAAGGTTAACGTTAATCGTAAAAATCATAAAAAAATACCAATTACTGAATTTGTCAAGAGTTTAACTGCAGTTACACCTGATCCTGATTACAATCCGGTTTCTATAAATATTATGGAAGTTGATACTGAAAATTCCGTTGGAAAAAATTTAGCCATTCTGTTTAAGAATGCATGTGATGCTGAAAAAGAAGTAACACGAAGTAAACAACAAGAAATATTCAACTGGTATTATTTTGCCGAAGCTTTTGAAGGAAGGGTAAATGAGTTAATTGCAACTGGTATTGCAAATAACTTAGCAAGAACCCAAATTTACGAGGAAATGTCACCATTTATTTCAGGAATTACTGCAAACAATTTAAGACAAAAAAAAACATAAAGCAAGAGTGATTTTTTTATTGTTCAGTCAAATTGGGGTTGAGAAAATCCGACGAATAAAGTATAGTGCAGATTCTATCTCTTATTATAATGGCAATGAAATCCAATCAATTATTGAAAGTGTTAAACGCAGTAATTTAGATTTATGCAATATAATACATTAATTTTTGCATAACTAATATAAAAAATAATGCTTTAAATTGTATATTGTCAAAAAACTTAGTTGTATATTTTTGCTAGCAAACTGCTTTTATTGATTATAATAATTATTGTAATTATGTAAAGTTGTTAAATATTTTTTTATAGTGCTTGGAACTGTTGAAAAATCCGATGGATGGATATTTTTTATCAATTAGTGTGGTCTGAAATAATTACTTATTCGAATCGTAACGATAATTATGTAAGCGATAGCTAAAATTTAACCCTTACATATCTTATAAATTATTACATATTATTAAGTAATTTATGAGCCATATATTGCACAAAAATTAATTCACATCGTATTGTTTAAAATAGGCTCGATCAATCGTTCAAACTAATATAGCTAATTCTAACGAAGCATGTCTTGAAAATACTGTATCGAATATTGGATTTGATGATATGGAAAATAATAATGATAATTTGGAAGAATAATTTGAAGAAAATGTCATGCAAACTATTGAAAACATTGATAATTTTAATATTAATGATCAAAATTATATATAATGAAGCCGTAATTGAATCTTTTATTCAAGCTACGCATAGTATCAAAAACTTTAAAGGTTTGGTTAGTTTTAGAAAATCTTGATAATGTTTAATCATTAAATTAATCATTATTGTATGCGATAAATTGAAATTTGCTGCTAAAATTTTTTTAAAAAAATAAATAAATCTTAAACTTGAAATCTTTTTTTTTATCATTTTTACCATAATTTGTAATAATATGTTAAATATGTAAAAATATATAAGAATATATAATATTTTTGCCCATCTCTAGTAATTTGTTTAGTAAAACTACTATAGAAGATCATGCTATGGGATTGTTTTGTGATTTTGGGTTGACTAAAAATCTTTTACTGCTATTATCATAATTCCTGTAACACCTGATAAAAATTATCCGAATGATTTTTTTGCCGATTCGACTAAGTTAGTGATTTCGGCATAATAGATTTTATAAATTGATACATATACGTATGTGCGTACAGCTGCCTCCGAAAGTAGCGCATTAACTATAAAGCTAACAATATATACATGAATTGTTTTTTTTTATGTATATATTCGGCATTGAGTCCACACCATCCAACAAATAAGAGGTATCGAATTTTGACCACTCTTCCTTTAGAGCAGCCCTGCGTTCCTCGGAAAGTTTCTCGATTTTGAATACTATCCTTTATTAACTTCCAAACATTTCCAGGGGCGTCAAGCCAATATATAAATTTTTACCTTGTGTTTTAACCATGAGCTCAACGGGAGCTTCGCGAACTCGGATGGAAATACCATAATGGCATCGATGTCGAGAAAGACGAACGTAAGGCTTTTGAATATATAAAAAATTCTGCAGACATGGGATATGCAGTTGCAATAAATGATGTCGGATATTGTTGCCGAAATCGAATTGGAATTGGAAAGGATGAAAATAAGGCATTCATCTATTATCAAAAATCAGCAGAGATGGGGAATGTTTATGGAACATATAATGCTGTTAATTGTTATTATAGCAGTATAAAGGATCAGGAGTTAAAAAAGACGAACATAAGGTATTTATTTATTTTCAAAAATTAGCAGAGATGGGACATGTTACTGGAATAAACAGCATCGCAAATCGTTATCAATTATGAGAGGGGTTAAAAAAGATGTAAAAATGGCATTTTTTTTATTATCAAAAAAGTTGCTGCAAAGGAAAATATTGCTTCGATTCATAACCTTGGAGAATGTTATCAGAATGGAATTTGAGTTAAAAAAGATTTTAAAAAAGCTTTTGAATTGTATTTGCAATCTACTGTGCTTGATCTAGTTTTTATCATAAAAACTGGAAATTTTCAGTTTTAATGTACTAAATAATTAGATATAGTAGGTAATGTAATAATATGCCGTTACCTAATTATTTTATAATGCTTTAAATTAAATTAAAATTAAACAAACCCCTAAATATTATACTTTTGTTTAAAAATATTTTAGTAATTTCTCCATTATATAATAAATCTCTAATAACATTAATAATTGCTCTATTTTTTTAAAATCAACTTTTCAAGACTTGAAATATTTTAAATTCATCAATTAAAAGATTCATAATATCATTATTAAGCCGTTTTTCCTATTATTCTGAATCATTTCCGTAACCCAATATTTTATTATCATCATTTTTGATAAAGAAATATTGCCGAAAACTGTTCCGTAACAAGAAAAATATCCACTTAACAAATAACAGAACTCGGTAAACTTGAAGTTTTTAATGAAAAAACAAAACTATCTGAAGTTGTTAGCCAATGATTTTTATAATTAGATGACTAGATTAACGAATTATATTCACCAAGTATTTTCATTCTTGCCATTATCTTTTATATAAAAGCTACGCTGCCAAGTATATTATCACTTAATCTATGAAATCCTTCACAAGTAAATCCGCCTGTGCTTCCTTTAAGAAGTAAATTAAACTTACAAAGCATTTTGCAACGTCATATGTTGACGGATGACAATTAATCCAAGATGAAATCACTGCAAAATGTTCATAATTGACAATGGACAATGGATTAATCAAGTGAACATCACGTACAGGAAGCTGAACAGGAATTTTTTTTACGACAGGTAAAACAGTTGAAGAAATAGATGCATTAGGATCAATAAGCCTCGTTAAATATTATCCCATGAGTTTATTCCTAAGGTTTTTTTATAAAGTATGATTTTCTTCTCCAGACATTTGAAAATACCAAATTAAAGGAATATATTTGTCAAGTGTAGCTTTAACTTTTTAGTCCATTGCT